GAGCGAATCTTGATTCGTCTGAGAATAATACGGTCTTCCAAAGGTCCAGAGGCTTGGTCATCATATCACTTGCCCACTTCTTTCGTCTGACTATGTTGGCAGGTCTTAATAAGGGCTTCTCTGCAACGATAACCCAATCTGTGGAGAATCCGTTGAACAGATTTCGGGCTCATCCCACCAAATTCGGCCACTTCTGCAGTCGTTAATCTGGGATCCATTTCGATGCTCCTCTTGACAGCCCTTTTTGTCCTCTCCGATGGACCAGGACGACCCGGACGCTGCTCAGTTGTTTCCTTGCCGTGTTTCCTGAACTGCACGATGATTCTGTTGACTATCGAAAGCGGGATTCCCAAATTCTGCGAAATTTGCCGCTGACTTATTCCACCATCTGCTTGACCAACTATCCTACCTCTAACAAAATCTGACAATTCGAGAGAACCTTGAGTTCTAGGCATGTTGTAGCACAAGATAATTAGTGTACGGACCATTTTCATTTATATAGTGCTCTGTGAACATTAGCATAAATCTGTTAAACGACGAAAAATTAGGTGTCTATTTACTTGTGACCACTCAGTGTATATGTTCCAAGTAATGACCATTCCCCTCCCCCTTCATGGGTCAGCGTAAGTCTCCGGACTTACAACGCTAAAATTCGGGGCTCGATTTCCTGCGGTGGAAAGAGCTTAGGTGGTGTATTGTGTAGCTTTGTGCTAAAAAACCATTAACAAGAAAAATAAATTTATTAATATACTTGTTCTCAGAACGTAAATAAACAAAGAAATTGTTAACTGGTACAGAACATTTTACACAGATTTCAACTTAAGTACTAACTGATAAACTGAATTAATTACTTATAAAATAATCTGTAGCAAAACCGGCTTGTCTTTGAAAGTACTTTCTATTACAAATATATTAAGTTCACTAGTTCTTTTAATACTCTAGATTCTACTGAACAAAAATAAACTGGTTTCAACTAAAGATCAAAGGAGTAAAAGCAAATAAACACAAGAAAATAATAGGGTTTTTCACAATGCACCATGAGCTCGATTGAACTTGCTGCGTGAGACACTCACGGGGTAAGATGCACGAGGATAAGATAAATCTTGAAACGTCATCTAAAAACTCAAGTGCTCATGGGATAATATGAACCAGGTTTAGGTAGAACCAGAAACGTTAACCAAAGAGTGAAGATCTCTCAGGATAGAATGCACCGGGTAAAACTAACACGTAAACGAAGAGCAAAGCATCATGGGATAGGATGCACCAGTTTTTGGGTTGGGTATGTTAGTACACAAATCTACGTAAAGGGAAACATATATATTTTTTTTAAATTTACTGAACGAGAATCAGTCACAATATTGTAAAAGTGTCAATACACATGTGGTGAGCTCAAGATCAACTTAACAGTTTACATGTGATAAACTTGAAGTTTAGTGGAAGTGTGAAATATATAAATACACTATGTTTCGCCAGATTCACCTGGCATCTTCAGGTGACTGACAG